GGTAGTGCCTAGGGGGGGGGGGGCGCCTACTATTACTACTACTACTACTACTACGACTACTACGACTACTACGACTACTACTACGACTACTCCTACGACTACTACTACGACTACTACGACGACGACGACGACTACTACCTCCCTACACTTGTGAGCATGAAGCGCACCAAGGCCAAAGAGCTGGCCCTGGCGAACGCGACGAAGGCTGAGTCATGTTTCTAGCCGCCTTTCATTGATGTACCTACTGGGGCAATTTTTCCCCAGGGCCTTGCTCGACAGAGAGTTCTAGCAGCCCAGCTGGTTGGAAAGGTCTTGTGATGGTCCTTATACCCCAGACCTTGTTGCAGGGAGGTTTGCAAGGGTCCAGCTGCCATGTCTGCCGGCAGGCAGTCGCCGAACAGCCCATTGTACACATACTTAGGCAGGGCCACGGACTACCCATCAGCTGTCAGATGATCCAGAGATGCAGCTTCGCTTTGGCATTGCACAGCTTGGATAGCATGCCTGCCCATCCAAGCTGCAAGCCTTTATCGAAGAAGAGCTGACTCGGCCCTTTTGCAGGCGGCCTGAGTCCTTAGCTGGGAAGCTTGTAGCGCCGGATTTTCCAGCCAAGCAGAAGGCCAGCGACCCGTTCCAAGGCCGGAGTAGTCAAGTGTCATTTGTACGTTGATTCCGCTGATAATTGGTTTCAAGGAGTTCCCTTATATTGTGATCCTGATTTCGGATCTCATTGTTGCGGTCATGATGGCTGTCTGTTTTGAGGCAGGGCAGGTTAATAAAGTGAGGATTGTTCTCTACAGGTGGAAGCACAGTGTTAGTAGGGTGCTGAGCCAGACATGATCATCGAGTTGCAGCCAGCTGTCCCAGCTGGAAGTCTCTTAAAACATCTGCTGAACAAGCGCAGTACTTCCGACTCAGTTTTCCATTCGGACAGCCTCAACATGTGTTACCAGCAAATAGCAATCTGTCTGGGCCTCAACTTCCAGTCCACTTTCCCACTCCTTTTGCCTACGACGGTGGAGGTAGATAAGATTCAAGATTTTTTCCCCGTAACATGTCTCTAGGAACGTCGGGCATGCTTTCCTGATGTAAACAGTCGCCACATCCGACGGCAACGTGACCTTTTCGAATGATCTTGGCCCCCAGCCAGGGGCCCAGTACAAGTTGTTCTCCTTCGCATTTGATTTTGATGGACATGGAACTGGATGCCGCAGAGAGTGCCCAGGACTTCCGAGCCTGACGCTGGAGCTGCTGCCCCGGCTTCTCTGCATCCTGTATCTTTTGCATTCAAGACGAGATAGCCAGGGGCTCTTTTTACTAGGGCTGTTGGCATTTTGGAATCTGCGGAGGGATGCGATGTTGGACAGAATTCGTGTTGCAGGAGCGGTCCTGGCTATGAGGGTACCAGGAGTAGTCACAGGAGCCATAGCAGTGCTGGTGGCAAGAAGAACTGGCAGTCATGTTGGCAACCATAGAAGCGGGACCTGTTCTCCATGGACCTGGTATTTTCTTTTGTGAGCGCCCCACTTTGCCTGCAGTGGATGCCACTGCAAGCTGGACTTTATTTTCACTTTCGCAACGAGTACTTTTCATGATGACGAGTAGTGGTGGTGGTGGTGGTGGTGGTGGTGGTGGTGGTGGTGGTGGTGGTGGTGCTACTACGGCTATGGCCATTTCAGACCACCCATTACTTTTATCATTAATTCCGCTGCTGCTAGTAAGATGACAGCGCCGGCCATTACTTCTCCTGCTGCTACTCCTGCTCTGCCTCCTTTTGCAGTTGCCACCACTACCCTCACTTCCTACTCTTCCTGCTGCCACCTCCACCGCCGCCGCCGCCGCCGCCGCGACGGCGACCATGAGGAGTAGCACCCCCACTTCCCAGCTTGTGTTGTTGACACTGCATCTCGCGCTACCACTACCACTATACCTACCGCTTCCAGCACCTACATCTCCTGCGACTGCTAATCTTAAGCCTTCAGCTTCCCACCACTATCACAACTACCACTATGGTTTCCAATGTGGTGGCAAGGTCGGGCTAAAGCCTCTCTTCATTATCTTCGTAGCTGCGATCTTCTTCGCCATCCTAGTGGCAGCGCGCTGGCCATTGATTGAAAGCTTGCTACCTTAAGCATATTGACGTGGTAGCGTGACGGCCGACAAGATGACAAATGACCTAGGATAGGCCTGGCTGCATATCATTCAGTTTCATGAAAAAGCAGTGCCCTGTGTCCTTACCTTGGGTTGCATGCAGCTTGTTGTCTCGGAGTGTGTGCCAGGTGTGTGTGATTCTGCCGCGAGCCGAGCCTTCTCGTGCGTAGCACGAGGGGACATGAGGGGCATGTAGCAATGTGATTTTTTCAGCACCATGCCGTGACGTCGCAGCAGTTCTTGGTCTGTCTCGGTTTGTTTCGTGAAGGAAGTTTACTTGGATTCTGCTTTGGAGACGAGAGATGTCGACAGCGTCATCTTCGTCCACATATCCGCACCTAGGCCCCGCCTGCAGGGTGTTACATTGGGCATCGCCGGCAGCCTGGAACACAGGCCCCTCCGCCAAGTAATAGCGCTTGCAGAAGAGACAAGTACATTGCGATAGTAGAGATCTTGCTCAGCAGCCACTGAGCAGTGACCATAGTGGGCATGTTAAAAGCATTTCAGAAGAGCGAAGCAACGTTATGTGACCCAAGCAGCCAAAATCTGAGCCTCTTAGCCACAAAACTTGAGTTCCAGACCCCATGCTCTTAACACCTACTGAAACGGCTGCCAGTTGGCGTCACTCCGACCGCACGAAGTCGGTCGAATAGAGTCAAGGCAGGGCCAAAGGGTTTAGGCTTCAGATTTTGGGTTTTTAGTGCCAAGGGAAGTGTGTAGCTGGGATTGCAGCTTGCGTTTTGCACCCTTCTCGGGACGGTCAGCCCCTAAACCCTCCCAAGCCCTAACCCTCTAGACCCTAAGATTAAGCTCCGCACCGTGGATGATGGGCTCGACATCCGATGACAGGTGCCTTAGCACCTTTGTGACATGGCCACCGCAAAGGCTTGCCTCGACGGTACTGAGGCCATGTCCTGTTGCCCCGCATGCCCACAGCCTCCTTGTTCAGGGGGTTTAGGATTCGGGTTTGGGGTTTAGGGTTGAGGGTTCGGGGTTTTGGGGCTTAGGGGCCAGGTCTTGAGAGGTATTGCGACAAGCGCTTACATGCGTTTGCACACAGATGCAGCGCCACTCCATGCTGAATGCTGCAGAGATGTAAAGCTGAAGGTGGACGGGGCCTGTCTTCGTGCTGGCCCAGTGTGGGTCAGAATGAGAGATGGTTTCACTGTCGCGGATGACTGTAGTTCGTCAGCAAACACATGGGACGGCTTCTGTGAGTCAAAACAGATTAAAGGCGCTGATGTCATGCATTCTCTTTGTTCATCCCTGAATTTCGCAGTGTTCTTTCCATGGGATAGTCTTCTGCAGCTCTTTGGGATCCACAGGACAGCCATGACCTCTCCAGAAGCAGCGGCATTCTTCCCAAGCCTTGAAGGTCGCGAGCTGGCAGAGAAAGCTCAGCGCCACTGCGGGCAGCTTGCCATATTTGCCCGGAGCCATAAGCAGGAAAAAGCCTCGCCTCTGAAAGGACAGGCTGAGGCAATGGCCCATGAGCTAAAGAAGGAGCCGGTTGAAGGTGTCGTGGATGTCTTGGTGGCTCTTCGGTGCTTCCTTCCGCTGCACTGACTCCCTTGGTTTCGGATGTTGTCGATCTGGCGGTTCCGGGAGGCTTGTCAAGTCCGTGCAGACATCCAAGCCCAAAGCGTGAGGGAGCCGTGCCATGATTTGTTCTGCAAACTGTGCAGGAGCTGGAGCTGTACAGGCGCTTCCTGGTATGCAGTAGGGAATGAAGGAACACATCTGTGCCAGAATCCTTGGCGCAATCCTTTCCTTCATGCCATACAGACCAGGGAGGACAGTTTCAAGAAGGTTGCAGACACTGCCTGTCGCGTAGCCCTCGTTGCCTAACAGGCTGTGAGCCAGCGGTTGCGCAGAAACTGCAGCTATCATTTGACATATGCTTCTATTCCACCACTTCCTCCCCCTTTGCCAATCTATTGCATCCAGTGCCCAAGCCTTCAACTCTGAGACCACAACCCCGTACCCTAAGCACCGAAGCTCAGACACCAGACCCACAAAAGCGGTGGCCTGCTTGTTTAAATCTGTAGGACGCCAGCTTGTACAGAGGCAGGCCGCTTTCCTCCGAGGAAGCAGAGCCTGTGAAGTGTCACTCATGCCAGCTACTGTTGTTGCAGGAAATCTTGCACCACCCAAATCCCCCTAGAATCCGTTAATTACAATAGATGGGGTAACCCAAATAATGGTGCAAGATTTCCTTCATCAACAGTTGGACAGCTGTGTGTCAGAATTCCAGTTCCCTTGATCTGGGGTAATTGAGGGCTTGGCAGGTGGTGAAGCAAGTCTGTGTAGCGTCCCTTCAGCTTCGGGCTGAGGGAAGGTTGGCATGAGAGACCCTCTCGTTTCTTGAGAGGGGCATGATTTGCAAGGGGTACCTGAACTCTGACGTGGACCCATATCGACGACTTGGACCTTGTCTGATGGACGTGAAGAAGTCGTCTTGCCTTCTTGCACTAAACTTAATGTGTACTGCAGACTGCTCTGGCTCATGTCCTCTATTTCTGTTAGTTCGCAGATGCCACCGCAGCTAATCTCCCGAATTCTGTTTGTGTGTGAACACATGTAGGTCGGCCCCTTTTTTGTGTAACAATCGAAGTTTTTCGTAATATTCGTTTCTCTGTATTGCGTAGCATGCTTAGGATCCATGGAGGCCTATCAGCGAGCCCTCCAAAACAAAAGGTAAAGATGCCTCATGTGGTCGTTGCACACTTTCTCATTCTCTTCGAAATATTCTTTAGAATCCCTAAGAGGGACCCACATACCCATAAGTCCCCTGCCCAAAGGGCCTCCTATTTTGAGAAACCCGCTTGGTACCAAATTGATGGGTTTAATGCCTCAATATTTGATTTCATCTGCATGGTGTTGCTCATTGTTGCTCTACTAATGAGCCTCTCATTGGGGGATTGAGGGGGTCCCATTTTGGGGGTGTCTCGAATATTGATTGCATATATTGGGCAAATATTAGACTAGAGGAACTCCATACTTGGAGGCCCATTTGGGTGGCTGACAGGCATCCTAGCTTTGGCTGAGATGTTTCTTGTTGCGGAGGATGCGTGCAACTGGGATGGTCAGCATGGCAAAGTCCAGGTGCGCTGCTTGGGATAAGTTTGTTTGTTTGTTTGTGTGTGTGTTTTTTCTAGGTAGTGGTGGCTTCTACTCGGGAGTTCCAGCTGATAATGGCCCAGCCAATAAGTGTATCGAAGCTTCTGTGCTTCATTCAGTACGTGAGCGCGGAATATGCTTTTTGATGACGGCTTTCACTTTGTGTCTGACTTTTTAGTGGTCTAGGGGTTCCAGTAGTCTAGGGGTTTCATACAACTTACCGTTCAGGTCTACAAGAACAGCCGAGTCCAGTCTACCAGCAGTGAAGGGCGCCAAGCTGTGAAGAAGAGCTGCGTGCTGTTTCATGCGATTCCTGACGCCTGGATGTGGGCCAGATGACTCCCAGCTGAACAAAAAATTGACACGAAATTGGGGAAGGAGATCTGGGTGGTTGGATGATGAGGATAAGCTTGGCAAAAAGTTGAGTATCATCCTCAAAGAACTCCTCTACAAGGAGCTCTCCCCTGCGCCCGATAGAAGCGTCCATGGTTTTTGTCATGTCTGCAGAGACTGGTAGTGATTTACAGATCTCAAGAGCTGCTAATGCTTATGCTCACAGCTTCCACACCATTGCAAGCAAATCCCAACCAAGCGGTGATATGCTGCATTCATTGCTGAATAGCTGAGTTTGTAGCACGTCAACTTGCCTGCCTGTAGTCCAGCAGGCGGTGTGCTCCCCAGGGCTAACACCTCATTAAGCATTGCACCTTTCCGCTTGGTGGCAAGATGGGAGTCAAGACATGACTCTAAGCGCTCCACGCCCTCCAGGACCCGGACTCGGGATTTGCAGCTTCGCTTGGAAATCCTTGGCTGAGTTTGGCACATCCTGTCTGTAACTATCGTGAGTTGGTTCTCCCCTTGAGTCTTCTAGATGCAGATGCGCCAATCAGATGTTGCAGATGGACTTGTAGTCGTGGATTACTGCGCATGTTTTTGTAGCCGTCTTCTCTCCAGCGGCAGTAGTTCGTGCAACTGAGATGCTCAAAGCATCAGAGACACAAACTGTAGCAGGTACTTCGTACATCCAGCGCGTGCATGCTATTTGGTATGTTTCAACACCTGGTTTGAGAGACTTCAGCTCTAGGAAAGGTGCGTGGTGTTGCAGCGTTTGTTTCGTGGCTGCACTTCCGTAAATACAAGTGGAAACACCTGGGGATCCTTTGATGGGACGTCTGCAGGAGCTTCCCGGACTGTGGCTTCGGTCCCAGCTGCTTATGGATTCCCCTGGCGCATGGGTGCTGTGCCCCAGGCGCTTGCGCGATGCGTCATTGCTGCTGGTGATGGATGGCAAGTAGGAAGATCACGCATCAGAAAGTAAACTTGTAGCTTCTATTTCCATCACAGCCGTAACTGCAACTGCTGTGACAACGGAAGGCAGCGCAGCAACGAGAGACAGCAGCAAGTATCAGAGGTAGTGAGCTGATAGCTGTGAATGATTGTGCATGCAATTTCCTGAAGCAATGCCACAGGTGCAGGGAGTCCATGGAGTGCATTCGTATTCTCCGTACGTACCGGTGGTCGTGCAAAAGTTTGGGCCGCGCCCTGAACCGGTGAAACCCGTGGTGGTTCGTCAGCTCTCGGCGCCCTGCCTGGTGCACGCTTCGCTGACGGCTGTGGCTGCACCTCCCGGCCCAGCAAACAAGGTTGGACCAGTGGACCTGGAGCCACTGCCAACCTGGGCTGCTCCGGCCACACCTCCAAGCAAGAGCCCCCAGCGAGAGGAAGCCCCCAAAGGCCATATCACCGACAGTGAGACTGGAGTCCCCGCTGATGTCCACTCTAACGGCGCAGCCTCTGAGTCGGATGAGTGTGTATCGGAGGAATCGGGGCAGATGCGTGCCAAACTTGAGGCAACCCGAAATGAGCTGGTCGAGAAGATGGCAGAGCTCATGAAACTCGAGGCTAATCTCTCCGTGGCCTTGGGTGAAAAGCCCACTGTTTGGAGTTCCTGCCCCTCAGATTGTTCCAAACTGGATCCTGCAATACAGCACTTCACATCATTGAGTGCACAGTCTTCAGTGGACATGCAGGATCGAACCATCGGCGTGGTGACGGAAGAGTTTGAGTCCGAGAGCCCAGTAGAAATCGTGCCACCGATGAAGTCGCAGAGCCGCAGCACCAGAGCAGTTGGAACCACCACTGACGACCTCGCAGGGCTATCAGAGGAGAACGTAAAGGATGTCAGTCTGAGCCAGAGTCAGACCTCCAGTTCTCCAGACACCACTGCCAAGAAGGACAGCAATGAAGCTTCGGCACTGTTCTGCCTAAACACTCTTCATCAATGTAGATCAATGTAGGTTCTATCTTTAACATAGATGCCCACATGACAGTTTCATGGCTTCGTTGCTTGGTCATTTGGAGGCATGCTGAACAATGCTTCATATGATTGCCTGAAATGCTTTACCAGAGCATTTAGACATGCAAAACGCTGGCCATCAGTGTGTGCTTTTTCGGGAAGGGGCTTTTGAGCTTTGATTTGTAGTGCCCTGACCTGCCGGGTGCGGGCGATAAAGAGGGTTGAAAAACGCAGGCCCCCATGGCCGGCAGCTCTTTATGACTTTCGGTAGTTTTTTTGTTTTGTTGTTCTTAGTAATTAGCCCAGGCTTCTCATCATCTTATTGGTTCACATAGGGGAATGGCAGAATGGATCCCAGGAGCAGCCCTTGGAAAATCTCAAATGAAAATCCCAAATGAGACAGGAGTTTCATTTTTTTTTCCGGCTCTTTCGTTCCCTAGTAGCAACAAGCAGGACAACCAATTCATGTTTTTTTTTTTCTTCGAAGGTCCCCACCCCTCTTCCCAGAGAAGATGGTAGGTTCCACTTTCTTTCTCCCTACTAACAAACCGTCAACCCCAAACCCCAAACCCCATATAGCCTATTATAGTAGTTTCCACTTTCTTTTCCAGTATCCCCATATAACCCCAATATAACCCTAACATTACCCAAATCCCAATATAACCCAATGAATCCCTAAACCCTAAACCTTAATCCGTTTCTTTTTGCATTTTTTCCTTTTGATTCTCCATTATAGGGGATCATATGGTATCTTTATCATAAACCCTAAACCCAAAGCCCGAAATCGTAGTTTCCATTTCATTTTCCATTACCCCAATAGATAAACTATACCCTAGTATGATATAGTAGTTTCCATTTTCTTTCCATTATTGGGGGAAAACATCCCGGGACCCTTAAACCCTAAACCCTCTATACTCCTATATAACCCTATATTACCATTATGGGGGTAATAACTCTAAACCCAATGGTATTCATTGACCTAGCCAGACCCTAAACCCTAAACCCTAAACCCTCAAGCCTAAAGCCTAAATAGTAGTTTCCATTTTGTTTTCCATTATCCCTATATGACCCTATATTATACCACCATATTATTATAGTAGCTTCCATTTTTCCATTAACCTTATATCACACCCCTACATACTTTTTCTGCAGGAGCGAAGTGACACGGCCCGCAGCGCCCCGAGCCGGTCGGGCTCTGGGCGCGTCTCGGCGCTGCTCAGCGCCCCGCCGGTGTCAGCTCGGCTGTCCTTAAGGAGACAGAAGCCTTGGATGACTAGCAGATTTTATATAGGGTAGTATGTGTATATTGGGGATATATTGAGATGATGGAAAAGCAAACGGAAACTACTGTATAGTATAATATCTGTACTTGAATTTGGGATTTTCTTTTTAGAATTCTATCCCCCCTAGTCTTTTTGGGAGAATTACAAACAACAGTGTAAGACTCTCGGCTTTTGGATGGTGCATTTGGAAGCCCAGGAAGGAGCCCAAGGCTTCTGCGGGCCGCACCACTTCTCCCTCAGCCAAGCTTAGGAGGAGCTCTTCTGCTCGCGAGCTATCAGGCCGGATCTCGACATTATGTGGCCATCCCTTGCCCTGATGACAAAGCACTGGCCTAGCTTAAGATGCGTATGTAGACAATGTTCTCCATGTAGCATTATTATAAATCAGGGGACTACTGACTATCAGGGGGATGCGGGGAGTTCCATTCTTAGGTCGGAGATTATTCCAAGGCTTTGTCATGGTCATGCGTGTTGGGTTTGGGCCTTCGGGATATTTATTTACAGGAGCTGCTACAAGCAAAAGCAAAGTCGCCGCCTGTCTGGAAGGCCTTATGTGTGGATGCCTCATCTGACTGATTTTCAGTAGGGAACATGGGAATATGGTGTCTACAAAATAATCCCCATGGTTAGTAGTAATAAGGGAATACAGTATATGAGCTACAGTCTAAACCCCTTAACGAGGGCTTATACATGGGATTATATAGAGGTGTATTATAGGGGTTATTAAGGGGAATCCTAGGAGTTCAGACTATAGCTCATATGGGGATTTATAGACATTTTCTGCCTTTATTCCTTAGTAAGCACCAGTAAGTCTTCTTGTCTGGATGGCCTTTTGGTTTCCGTCTTATCCTCTTTCAGGCGCCCAGCCCATTGTTGGATAGACGGACAGGTTGTTTAGCAGTTTATAGGGCTTGGGGTTTAGGGTTTAGTAATCATGATTTGGACGTATTCATTTTTCGCCGTACGCGAAGAGGAGCAGCGCTGTAACAATGTTAACCCTGCAAAGGTTAAAATTGATCCTGGTGTCCAGCCTGGTGGATGCCACAAGCAACAATCTGAATGCCAAAGAGCGGTCATCTGTAGTCATGGATCTTGAAGCAGAAGGCCTCATTATAGGGTCCTAAAAGCCATCCCCAGGCTTATCGCTTACTTGTTCTTAGTAGTGTGAAAGAAAGGAAAACACAAAATGAAACTGTTCTATATCTTCTGGGATTCTACAGGGGCTGCCATAACCATCCATTTCCTGCATTTCCTACCAACAACCAGGAAATGAAGCCGAAACCCTACATATAGATATGACCCCCAGTTTCCCTGTCATTCTGCACAAGCCTTGCTTGGGTGCCAGGACCTGTCAGCGGCTTGTTAGCCTCGGACGTAGCGCGGTTGGTGGCTTCGCCTGAGATCGGTGCGACAGGGTGGGGGTTTGAGGCTGCGGAACTAGCATAAGATGTTTGGACTATGTTTATTAGCCCTGACACCCAACACCACAAGCTAAGCACTACCTCACGCATATTCCATGGCCCAATACTGCATATCCTCACACTTACGGGTTCCCAAAGCTTGCTATCACATATGGCAGAACAATTTGTGTAACACAATGTCCGAAAACGCTAGGCAAGCGTTCGTTGCAAAAAAGTCATACAAACATCTGTAACCAGGTGCTTGATAGAGACAACTCTTTGAACTTCACTTCACGTTTCTACAAAGGATGAAGAGATTTCGCAGGCAGAAGAAGTGCCACGCAGGACAGTTTCCAAGGGTGGTCATGATGGTTTCACAGGTGGCTATGTCAGTTTCCCAGACGTGCTTGGTAGAATGGGGTCTGCAAAGCCCGAAATTGATTCCTTTCTGTTGTTTGTTGTTAAAGCAGAAATCCAGCCCGAGCCCAAGCCCGGAGCGCGGAGATCAAGGCCCTTGGCGGCCCTTGAGTTGTGGTGGCAGAAGTATGACGAGTGGTAGGTGCAGGACTTGGAGGAAGGGGAGGAGCCGCCACTAGGAGGCACTTAGGTTCTTACCGAGATGTCTTGGGTTCCTGCAGGTACCTTGAATGACTTCTTGCCGCATCCGACCCCGGAGCCGGAGGCTTGCGGTTCTCCAGTGGGTCAGGATATAACCCTGAGAATATAAGCTTCCTAGGGTATGCAGGGACTGGTGTTGAAGCATAAAGGGTTTTGTGGTGATTTTTGGATTCGGCTTTTGCTTCAGGCTTTTAGGGGAAGAGTTCTTCAAGGAGGAAATGAGCAGAAATGGCACAGGCCAAGACGACAATCTTCCACACCATTGTGGGTACCGAGCTTTCGACTAATGTGCATTCAACAGGACTGCATAGGCATAACATGCGCCGCATGAGTTTCGTGGGAGTATGTGGGGCGTGGCTGGCGACTTATCTAAGATTCGATCTTGTCTCGGAAGCTTATCTTTCTCGTGACTTTTTATCACCGAAGATTGCTTGGGACAATGCACCCATACCTTTGTTGTTGGAATGCTAGAGTTTTAGTTGCGAGGCATACAAGGATTTGAGTCCCAGGTTCTTGGGCTACCCGCAGGCTCTTTTCGAAGCGCGCCCCGGCAAGTCCAGTATGAGCCACGGTAGAGCGTGCTCGGGAGCAAGCTCTTTGGTCCAGAGCGGGGATCTGGTTTAGGATCAGGATCAAAGGGGCAGCTGGCGTATCCATAGCAGTGACACCAGAACAGCCCATCCTCCAGCTGGAGGCCCTAACCCGCAGAACTGCAGAGTATGAAATAGCGGGTTCAAAGCCGTGTAGCTTTGGGCAACGTGAGCCAGGTGCTACGAGAGAGGAATGCAGAGGCGATGGCTTGGAAAGATGATTTGTGATGGATTGCTCTCCAAACAATTCTTAGCGTGACTAAAATCCCTTGCCACCTAAGACAGCTTGAGAGTTGAAGGATCCCCATTTGAATTGTTTTGTGACGGACTTCTCCTTCAGTTCAGTCAAGACAGGAGGAGTGAATTTGGAGTGTCGTCTTGCCATGCGATTCAGCGGTGGATTGGAACAGAGGACTGGCTTTTCTGAAGTTGAAGTATTCTAGAACCCGAAACTACGGGCTTTAACCTTTGCCATTTGATTCTTTGGATGTCTAGAAAAGGTATGGTACAACCACAATCGCAGAGTCTCAACCCTGTACACTGAAACACTAAAGCATAACCCTGCAATTTATGAGCCCGTAACGCCAAAAGGGCTACGTAGACATTACTGCATGACTCTAGGTATCTTATACCTTGAGAATTATGCTGCTGTAGTATTCTACCGTATACCTTGGGAACTATGGTACTATTGTATTCTAAGGTCATGCAGGATTTTCTGTATCAACAGTATGTCAGGTGGCGTGTGCTAGCTGCGGCTCCGAGCAGCTTGTCATCTCAGACGCTATTTTGATAGACCCTGCTAAACTATGATATAGAATACATGCTAAAATACTGTAATGTGCTAGAATATGGTTTAATATACTATGAGATATTACAATATAGTATCATCCTTATCAGGGGTACCTCCAAAAACGGGCCGCTAATTGTTGGAAACCCCATGTACCGGACCAAACAAAAAAGGTGTATGCAGTAGGGCTCTGAATAAAGGTTTTGGCAACCCCATCTGTCCTTGAGAGTTCCCTGGCTGTTTGGAGGGGAGGTCCATGATACTTAGGGGACGGGATAATCCGCTGAGAGACCGCGGCTATCCTCAAAACGATTCGGGCTTCAAAGTTTGAATTCAGCTGCCACGGGGAAATGCAGGGACAGATCCCGCAAAGAATTTCTTCATATCACCAACACGCCACTGGCCATTGGGCATCCTTTTTTGCGGGGTTGGTGTTCCGAATCTTTGGAAGGGATTGATTTCTTGTGCAGCGTTGCCGCAGGGCGGGACGTCTCTAAGTCGGGTGTCATGCGTTGCGGTTCGTTTCCGTGGTCTTGGGGAGCCTTAGCAAGAATTTGGGAGCGCTATAGAGCGCTCCCATCCACTCGCTAGTGACCCCCAACCCCAAACCTTTTGAGACCCAGTTTGATCCTCAGGTACTTGTCTGGGGCAAGCTTTTGTCACAACTGTGGCCTCAAACGGGCGAAGCAAAGCGCGCCGCCTGCGCAGGCCGGGAGTTGGAAGCCCTTCAGCGTCCTTCTTTGCTTTGGTTCTGTACTGCAGGTCTCTGTTTTGTTAGGGATCATCAACAGAAGATGTAGGGCTGGCCCTGACATTCCAGAGAACGTAGTTGAATCAGTGCCCATGGGAAGTTCCGGTTGTCCTTGATTCCCACAAGTATTACTAGTATGAAGTTGTTGCTTGCCATAGCTTGATGGATAGTTACTTATCAGCCTACTATATTCCGCACTCATCTGGCTATGCCTGCACACGGCCTATCACCTGTATCATCTGTATAACGCTTACAGGGTTAGAAATCACCTCTGAAATCCAACCCACACCTTCAAAAATATACGGTCAGGTATTAAATTGGCAGGGGTGGACTCAAGGGTTGGCATTAAGGGCACCTCCCATCCTTGCCGGCAACCTCAGGGTGACAGTGCCCTCGTCCCCTTTGCTACCTCCCATGTCTGCCTTACTGCAGCGCTTCTTGTCGCCATGGTTTTGGCTACGTACTTCATCTGGCGGTGCCGCTCTTGACAACCACTCCTGTTCTACCGTTGCCTTTGTTGCCCTTCCGGCTTCTTCATCGTAGCCGACCATTGCCATGCCCTCTTCCCGCGCATCACTTCCTAGCTGGTGGACTGCCTCAGCATCTCTTCATGCAAATAGTAGTTAGTAGGTGTCCAAACCCGCGTTAGCAACCACCAACACCTCAACGTTCAGCTAGGCCGTCACCAGTCTGCGCTGGTGGCGCAGGCTTTATACCTAATGCAAATCTACAGCGTCATGTCTCACCTCCGAACCCTCCGNNACCCCCCCCCCCCGCCCCTCCCGGCCCTTCCTGCTTGTGGTGTTGTTTTGTGGTGCTGGCGCTGGTACTGCTGCTGCTGCTGCTGCTGCTGCTGCTGCTGCTGCTGCTGGTGGGGATTGTGGTGCATGCTGGTCGTGGGGCCCACCAACTCACCCTGCCTTCCTCGGGAGCGTCTCGTGTGTCCCAACCCCAACCTCTCAGGCAACCTGTGCCGGCCTTGCAGATTGGCTGTTTTGCAGCTTCTGCTGATGCAAGTTCCCCCGATTCCGTGAGGCTGCTCATCCCCACAAGCTTCCCGCGGTGCATGCAACCAGCCTCGGCTGAATCCAAATTGTTTGGTGTTTTGAGCCACCTTCCCGCGCTGCCGCTTCCCTACGGCCTACGGCAGCTCGTCCTTGCAACTGCCCGAAGCCATCCTCAGGTCAAGCCCAATCTTGGGAGGTCTGAGCTTTCCTCCAATGCCCAAAGCCCGGCCTTTCCCGCAGCATTTTGCTGTTGCTGTTTCCCTATGACTGACTGCTCATCCTTGCAAGCTTCCCGTGCAGTGTGAAACCATCCTATTTTGAGCCTTCCTCTAACACCCCTTCCCCGCTGCGGCCGGGCCTTCCGCGCAACATTTGCTCACCCTGTCGGGCGATCCTTCCTCCAACGCCATTGATGCCTTGCTCACAAAGTGATCCCGCACTGGGGATATGATATGCCATCCTGGCAGCGGCCGTCTAGCTTCGCCCAGTGCTTTTGCGCCCTTGAAGGAGGAGGCGCATGCCATGCTGCTGGAGCTTCACCAACACTGACTCCTCGTCCATCGACGGAGTGCGAGTCGCAGTCAGTCGTCTCTCCTTCGACCGCACTAGCAATACCCTCCCGCAACCCTAGTGCATCCCGTGATCCTTCGCGTGGCAACCGCTGCCAGCGCGTGAAAAAAAAGAGCTTGCCTTGCGATGCTGTCTCATTGGCCCAAGCCCTTGTCACCCTCTCGGCTGAGGCTGTTGAGCCTCTTTCTCTCCAGGTCCTCCTTCTCAACCCGGTCCCCTAACTTGAGGCCTTCAAGCCCTTTTGGCTGGGTTTTCGTCCACTCGAGCCCACCGGCTTTGTGCCTTGGGCCCAAATCTCGCTTCCAGCTAGATTCCTACAGGGTTAGAAGCCGCTATGTGGAACCCTTCGCGAGGAGGATTTTAGTGTATTGTGGTAATGATCCATGGTATATGGCCCAGCAGGGGCTTTTTGGCATTGCAGGCCTCGAAGGAACGGCTTCAGCGTGCATCCAGCGAAACGAAGCTACGAGGCTGCGACTGGGGATGCGAGTCCTTGGGTTTCAGGATTGAGGTTCATGATGAAGGACGGATTAAGGACTAGGCTAGGGTAAGAATGGAGGATTTAGGTTGGAAGGGCTTCGAGGGAAGGCTAAGGTTTCTGTTTGCGGCTTGGTAGACATGATGATGCTGCCAACATTGGCAGGGGCATATGTAGCTACAATGTAGCATACACAAATCTGGTGACAGCCATTCTCTGGTCAATCCTGTTTGTTGCCAGTGTTGTCTGCATTTTCATGTCTAGCCAGAGTTAGAAGAACCGTGAGTCATCCGTCCCAGTCTCAATCGCCATGGCTGGATTGGATGTTTCTGCTGGGTTTGAGAGCAGGATCCCTGTGTGGATAGGGGATGCCTCGATCCTGTTTAGGCAGCCTGATCTTTTCACAAGCTGTCAAGGTCATTGTATCCTGAGAATTTGTGCTCAACATATCACCACTGACTTGTCTCGTTTGGAAGAAATCCTGCACCACCCTAGGTCCTACAAATCCTGGAAATTACGCAAGTTTAGGGACCCTAGGTGGTGCACGATTTCCTCCATCAACGGTAGGCGCACAGAATCCACCAAGCCTTCAAATCTCTACCGTTTTGATATAGCTGCCTCGTAGTCATAGCCATGATAAGACCTTTGTAGATCTATCGGTTAGCAGCTACTCCCGATCACGAAGCCACAGATCCAGGCTTTACCTTAAACTGCAGATCTTTTTCCCTGAGCCACAAATCCTAGGCCTTAACATTGAACCCGGCTGGGCCAGCGTCCCTGAAAGACCAGTGCAGGCACTCGCCGGCAAGAGGCTTCACGTGAGCCCTCGCAACGGAGGCATGAGCCGAGCAGGGAGTGCGGGCCCCAGGGCGTTGGATGATCTAAGAACATATCAGTAGTGATGCTTTGTTGGGTTGAGACATACAAGTCGTAGAAGTCATCATTTATGTCATCTCTGCTATTCTATGGCTGTTCTTCGTATCGAAATTTTATAATGGAAGCTGCGGTCACCTGCAAGTTTAATGGAGGGGCTTGCGCCACCATGCCAGCGTTGAGATCAAGTTCTGCAATTACATGGTCTTCACAGGTTAAAAGTTTTTCTGCTTCTGTGCGTTCCTTCCTCGGGCTCGAGTTCAGGGTTCAGGGTCCAGGAGGGCCTTCCTTGCCTGCTTGGAGACACGGCGGGTTGGCAGGAACTGAAACCTTCTACTCTGATGCAGGCAACAGGCGCCTTCCAACGAGAAGAGGACGGCGGTTCTGACTGGTGTAACATGTCAATGTGCATTTGAGTCGGTCGCAATGATACCATCCTTGCCGTATCTTGCTTTGACACAGCGCATTTGAATACTTGGTAACACAGGCCTTTGGATTCACGCGTAGGTGCAGCTTGGTGCAGCCAATAAAGTAGAATACAGGCTCTTTTTTTTCAGGATTATACACGTAGACACGCTCCAGATTGTTGGGGGGTTGCTCCTGAATGCGCGGCAGAGGAGCGCTGGCAGCCGCATGCTGCCTCCTCAGTCTTCTGCCCCGTGCTGTGCAAATGCTACAAGCGTAAGCACACGGGGAGTGAGCCAAGTTGACCAAATGCCTATTGGACATCCAGATGCGACAGCATTTGCCAAGTTCTTGGCACCTTCTCGCTATCGAAGTGCACTAGTGCATCATGCAGAGAGGACGCTTGCGATTCAGCTATCTTGAAGATTCCTGAGATATGAGATACTGCAAGCTTTGCGGACGTTTCGCTTCAGGAAATTAACATGATGCCTGGAGATCATTCAAAATGGCAGTTGGGCATAGTTAGATGGTGCTTATATTTAAAGCTATACGAGGGGTTGTAGTGCCCCGAACTACCCTGGTAGATCTGGCTCTCAAGTACGTGCTTGGTGATCGTCTCAACTGGTCTACTACTATGAAGTCTCAGCCAGCCTTCTAGTAGGCTCTTCAGTTGGCCTTTGTTTAAACTTAGGCTTTGACGAGTTTCTCAAGCCTCCTAAGCCTGCCGGTTGGAAGCGGTTTCCGCGGAAGCACCTGTTATGCTTACAGCTGATGTTGACCAAACCGCCCCAAGAGGCTCCTGCGTCTTAAGCAGCAAATTGCCATTGGTGCGCCAAGCAAATGAATTCCCAAAGCAAGCTAAGTGGCACGTGGCAGAAATCCCTGGACTCAACATCCAAGGCTCTGGAGCCAGCAGTTGACTTGCAACGAGCAACCGCGGCAATCGCCAAGTCCACAGCGCTTGAGGCCGCCCAGCTCCTGAAGCATGCATGTGTGAGCTTAGGCCACAGGCTTGGGATCAGTGTTGAGTACCTTCCCAAATCACGCTCCAATAGCTGACGGCTGGGAGTTGAAGGCCAGTCCAAATTGTATTTGATAATTCGCTTCTTAAAGTTGAAGCCCCCTGTTCTAGGGCCAGGGCCGCTTTAGTCAATCCGCTTGGGCGAGGCCTGCAACACCCCAGCGAGGGGCAGGAGCTCGATCTGCACGCAGCACAGGCGCCTTGGGCCGACTACCTAATCCCTGAGACCTCAGATCACAAGTCCCAAATCCAAAGCACACCAAAAAAGCACAACTGGCTAGCCAAGGGATTCGGCTCTGCCACTCTTGCAGGATGGGCTTGACTTCGATGGTACAACTTTAAAGCCACCTTCTAAGTTTTCTATTGTTGCTTTCACTTTCATTGAGCCTCTAATACTACAGCTACACGTGCTCTGGTCGCATCATCAGCAGGTGGTGGAAGCCAGCTTTGAGCTCAGTTCAAACAGGAGGCATTTCCAGGAATCGCAGCAGGTGGTTCTGTAATGCATGTGAGTTTCAAGTTGCTAGACATCCAGGATAGTTACTTAATGCAAGGTCTTAAGGGTTCGCATTGCCTCACCAGTTCGGGGATTCAGCTGCCCTGGGCCAACGGAAGTCAACGGCTTGGGCAAACCAAGGCCGCAGGGCGTTCCTGCAGCGGGGCGAGAGGCACCTCTCTTTGACTAGGGTGTTGTCTGCTTCATCTAAATGCTGGTAACTTCTTTCAACGAAAGCGGATTCCGCATGAAATAAACGCTGACTACACAGCACGTTGTACCTTCCATGATTCCACGGTGGTGCAACGCTGGTTGCTGCCAACGCGCAATGAGGGGATTTCGCCGTTTCTGGATTACAGATCCAAGCAGAGCTTGCATGCAAGTCATTAACGCGTGCATGCCAGGTGGCACATGCAGGTTTATCATACAAGCAAGAACATATCCAGACGGCCTATGTGCACCCATGATGTAAGATTTCTGTGTTGTGTTACTCATACCGGTTTAGAGCTCGCATGAGCACGACGGTACGCACGCAGAGGGAACTTGGCCTTTAGCCATGAGCTGGCGTCTCAGTCTCCCTGAGAATTTGCGATCTTCATGGGATCAGCAGCATACCTGCCATTACCTCATGAGAGACATTATGACCATGAGATGGAAGTAGTAGCTAAGCCTTCCACTGAAATGAAGAGGCAGATTTTTCCCAAGCACTGTGGATGCAGGACATCTTGCCAGAAATTCCGAGATTCTGCGGAATCCAAATGGTGGAAGATTTCCTCCATCCACCGTGTGATGTAACCCATAATGACCAGTCCCTCGGTTCAAGGAGGAAAGGCGAGCCGCCCAATTTTCACAACAGGGCTATGATTCGTCAAATAGGCAGGTTGAAGCTTTCCTTTTTTGTACTTTTTGCTTGAGGTTAGGGAGTGTGGCTGCAGTCCACAAGGTCATGACGCCACAGACGGCCTTGACGTCTTTCGGAAGTTGGAAAGCAACGATTTCCAGGCGTGGCCTGCTTTTGCTTCCAGGCGTTGAATCAACAAATGGTTGCACTTTATCTGCATGACTACTCCGGACTTCACACATCTTGAGTACTGTGTGGCTTCTTTTCGGGCATGAAGCCACGCATAGCGGGATCTCCGACACGAGCAAGATCTGGTATTGCCAGCACGTAGTTGCAATTCAAAAAAACGTGGTATTTGTACAGATGCCCTAAACCTCAAACCTTTGAAGCCTCCAAGGCATCTGGAACTGTACCCCATCTCATCTGCATATCCAAGGGTCGAAATGCCAATCACGGAGCACCCCGTCTGAAAGGGCCTCGTATCAAACGGTTATCAAAGGAGTCAGACATGGCAAAGGCTCCACAGTAAGCCCATCCCTTCGCAACAATCCTGTCCCCAAAACCCCCCAGCTCCTCGCTGTTTCCACAAGGTCGAGGTTCGGCCAGCACCCGGGCAAAAGCGCCCCAGGGATGACGATGAGGTTGAGGTGATTGAGGCCAGTTGCATGAGTGCACGAGTCCCATTTTTGAATATCCTGACATCTCATGAGGTGTTATGACATCATTACACGATTTTTTTTCTGATGTGTGCTGGAGGTCGTGCGGTGTGCCCACCAAATCCTTCGGGGGGACGCCTATAATCTTATTGTAGTACCCAATGAATCAATCATCAACAACTTTTCCTGGGCCTCAATTGGGGTATGGGCCATTCCATCAAGTTTTGGATGAAGGGGAATCTGTGGAGAGCATGGGGGCTGTAGATGAATCCAATCCCCGAAGTCATCTGGGCTCGTTGGCCCCAAAACCCCAAACCTTGATACTAAACTAAACAATCCCCGAAACCTTAGGAGCACTGTAGTTGCAGGCGGCACCAGTGGATCTCAACTTTGAGGCTCCCGATGCTTCAGACGAGGACTCTGAGAGAATAGGGCTGAGAGTTCGCGACATTTCAAAGGACCATCTAGTCCCGGAAGATAGCAAGGCAGACCCGAGCTAAGGGGAAAAGGACCCTCAAACCCCCAAGAACAGAGTCTTGGCTCTTCGGCCGCATTGGAAACTGCGATTAGGGAAGTAACCGATCCGACTTGACACGCGTTCTACCAGGTTGCCCCTCAGCTTATTCACGCCCACAGCTAGCAATCAAAACAAGAAGTCCAACCAGGTCCAGACGAGTGAGGCAGCCTGTCAGTGCTTAATGGTTCTCTGGTTGGCCCGTATCTGATCCATCTCCTCATGTAGTCTATTCTTTGGAAGCTGGGTCCTTTAAAGCAAGCAGATCCACCCGTTTGGGCTGGTTTAGTCAACTTTCTTCATGCTTTTTTTGGAAGATTGTGTGGGCACATAAGAATTTGCAACATCGTTAAGATGCACCTAGATCTTCTGCGCTGGTGAGGAGGACAACGTTAGAGTGGTCCTCTGCGAGTCGGGGCTCCCTCCTCATTCCCATTCCTGTTCAGACCGCTCGGAAATCGGTGTAAAGTGTCAGGTCTTCTGCGCCAGGCCGTTGCTAGATGTCCATCGTACAACCCAAAATGGTTACCCATATCTGCTTTATCGTCACAGTGGTCATGACACTGGCGCAAAACTGTACCGCTTTCCCCTCAAAAAGCTCAAAGCTCTGACAGCCCAGCACCCCCGAACGCCTAATCCGTGCTCTTGATTAATAAGGGCGCCCCCCGCCCTCCTATATTAATAGAAAAGCTTCATTATTTCAGGGGCCCCAGATGCCAGAAAGAGATTTCAATTGTAAATGGCGTCTACGGAACCCCGATTGGGGTCAAGCAAAATCAATACAAATTCAATTACAATCCATTTGAAATCGGACTCTTATTTTCTTAGGGTTTGGGGATAATAATTTCCTTTAAATCCAGGGGGTTTTGGCCCAAAACCTACCTCCGCCTTTAAAGTAGACTTTGACTCCCGCATTTGGCCCGAATAATTCTCTTTAAAACTAAGGGGTTTTATTAATCAAGAGCACGGATTACTTAGCGATACATTACGCGTGGGGCCCTGCAACACTGCGAAGGCCCACCGAGGGTCATGCCTCAAAATGGGCTGCCGTCATGTAACCTTCGAGGGCATCGAAGTGTCTCAATCTTCTAATCCTGAACCTAGTGCTAATGACTTCTGAAAGTGGAAGACATTAGAAATCAGAAGTTTGGGAGATATCTTGATATTCTCTATCATTTTGGGACATGACAATAATAAGTTACATCTTGCGCTTTGTTCCTATGATCACACACCACTAATCAATCCATAATGTGACAAAACGACAACCATAGGCTATGACAAAAGAGTGCAAGAGATGAATGGTTCGTGATTGAACTGAGTGATGTGAGGAACGAGAGAACAAACTAAACTCACTTCACACAACTATTTCATTAACTCATTCATTTCAATTCCCTAGTGCCAGATGATAAAGAGAGAAGGAGTATGGAGCCGCCTGGAATCTTAAACGAGTGTTGGACTAAATCTGTAGGTCGTGAGATTCAAGATTGTACACGACACGGGCCAACCCTTAACCGATATCCCCTAAACGTCACATGAGCGATAGGGGCCTGCCCTTTTTCTTCCCATGGTCTTTGCGCTATGCAAGAGATTTAGTCATGTACTCATACATGAAGGGCCTGGGAAAGTTTCTGAGCAGCTTCAGGGATGCTGGCAGGAAGTCTCTGAGGCTTGAGAAGCTCCAACTTGGTATAGCCGGTCTAGCATGCGTCTCCAACCTGTACTTTGTTTGTGCCATGGTTGCTAGAGCCCTAGTATTCTGAGATTGGGGGGTCTCCCATCTTGAGGCACCCATATCTGCCCTGAGGCCCCGAAGCGGCGGAATGGCTTACTATCTGGGCAGGTTTGACTCTCAGTAAGCCCGGTTAAATGAAGCTTAAGAGGGGGCCAACCCATGGAACATGAGCACAGAACATGCCTTTACAGAGGCCTTCAGGTTGGGCAGTGGCTTCGTACGGGGTCTAGGGCCCTAAGGGGATCCGGAATGACCTGCTCGAGCCCCAAACTGATGGTGCGTTGCGTAACAGGAACCACCGGGTCGTAACAGGAACTTCGTAACAGGAACCATGGGGACCCTCGTCACAGGAACCAACAGGCCCCCGCAACAGGAACCAGGGTCGCCCTGTAGCAGAAACTTTTCCTGGATACTGAAACTTTTCGGTGGGGTCTCTCTTCAGCTTAAAAGAGGAACTTATTTTGAGAAATTGTCCGATGAGTTGGATACTGCCCCCCAATCTTGATTCCCAAAAGGATTACAACTTGCGATAAGCATCCCCCAAACGGGCCGACCATTTTGAGAAGTTCCCAAGTATTCAGTTTCAGTTCTGGGTCCCTTGAGGGAGCGGGGTTCACGAGGGGAAGGTGGCCCAGAAGTCGTTATTATTCTTGCTTAAGGTTCCCTCCGTCCAGATAGGTGGGCATCTACTTAAAAACTTAATCCCTGGTCAAGAACTTTCCCCTCCCCCCCCTCGTGAACTTTCCTGTGCAGTTCGACCCTTTAAAGGGAGAGAGGCGGAGGGGGACAGCACTAATCCCGAATTGGCTGTGCTCGGGCGAGGTGATTGCATCGAGTTTTCTCACAAACTTTCAGGTCTGCCATCCTGCCCGAAGGTAGTAAGGCTCTTAGTTGAGGGCATATAGGAGGGCTCTTTTAAGGGATTCTATTGATATATGAGCTGCTTCCTGGAAATCAGCAGATGAAGCGTATATGCGAAACCCGAAACCATAAACCCGAAACCCCAAACCTGAACCTAAACCCTAGACTCTTGTACCATGAGCTGCAGATTGTCTGTTTGGTGACTCTATCTTAGGGGAATTATGGGGGTAACGTATAATAGGGTATATTAGAGGGATACTGGTGGTATATTGCACGTATTATGGATGTATATGAGAGGTTTTCTGGGGCGGTATGGCTGTTCATTGGTTGCTCGGGACCGCTTTCCGAAGGTTGACAGCTGGCCAACATAAAGTGACCGGCCGGTAACCTTATTTTGGCTAGCTGGCGACCTTTTAAATAAGGTGACCGCCGGCCAGTCACCTTATTTGAGAGGTCGGGAAACCTCCAAAAGATGCTCATGCAGACTGCTTCACGGGTGTGAGCGGGGAGGCGCCAGGGTCAATGGGGGGTCGGAGAAGGTTTTTGGGGCGAGATGTTGGTTTATTGGGCGTTCCGGAGGATGCTCGCGAAGGTGTCGTGTCCAGAAAAGCGCTGGAAATTAAGTGCCGGCCAGCCGGTCGTCCGTACCGCGCCAGCACGCAGGAAGCTCACGCGTCGGTCAGCTCATGTTCCTTCCCGTAGCTTGGGCGCCCGTACTCGTCGGTGCCCGTTACATCCGGCAAGGTTCTGGTTGCACGCCCGGTGGTTCCCGTTACCTGCGGCAGCGGGTACCGTTTCACCCGGCCCCGGTTCCGGTTACCTGTGGCCCGGTTTCGTTTCGCGGTTCCTGGTACGCCCTGGTGGTTCCTGGTACAGCCTACCTACACCTGTTGGGCTAGACCGTCTTTTCAGATGGAGGCTGGATGATGAATTTTGGTTTCACATCTCATGCACCAACCTCCCATTCCTTTTGCTAACAGCTCCTGAGCAGGCAAGGTCTCATCCCGAGCACATATAGTTAGTTACTTTGGGGTTTATTATAACGAGATCCCCATATACCCCATATTCTATACCTTATATATGTATCCCATTATAGTAGTTTCCATTTTCTTTTCCATTATCCCCAATCTACTTGAGGGGGACTCTAGCTGTTGCATCGAGGCAGTGGGAGCGTGGTGCAGTGCACGGCGAGGGCACCCTTGATGGACAGCAGGGTTGGAGTTCAGGGCCAACAAGGGAAGGCGCGGGGAGAATCCCACGTGAGAAGGACATGTTTTCTGGCGTGTAAGCAGGGTAAGCTGCTTTCATGTAGAAGCAATCAAACGTTTGCGTCTATTGCAGAGTCTTTGATCAAGAAAGAAGCTTCCAACAGCAAATGTGTCCCAATCTAGGGATGCTGGGAACGTGCTGTAACAGTAAGACTGATGATGGAGTGCTTTCTCAGTCACGGCCTTGAACGCTGTTCTTTCTTCTGCAGCTGCAGTGGTAGGGTTCAGGCGCTGCCGTGGTAGGTTTCTCCCGCAGCTTTGTGTTGCGTGAGGAGAACCCGATGCTGCGCAGGCGGCTGCGTTGGCTGTGGCTGGACACTCGGAAGTCTGTTGCCATATTCTGTCTGTACAGAATCGGCCATGACAAGTAAACCAACACTTGAATGGTCAGGCGGACTTAGTAAGTGTGTTCATTGCCCCTAGCAGCTGCAAAATGACACAGCTATCCCTCTTGCTAACCTGCTTAGTCCCCCCAGCCCTCCAAGCATAGAGTCGACATCAGTCAGGTGAGGCATATGGGCTTCCATAGCAGAACTTTTGTCCCGGAGTATACGGGTTATCTAGGCTCCTCTAGATGGTTTGTTGTCTGTACGTATCAGACATTCCCAGGCAAAAAGCACGGCCTTCCATGTAAAGGCAGAGTAGACCGGACATCATGGAGATGTGGGATTGATTTCGTGGTGGTGGCTAAAGCTCCTACTTATTGAGGAACATACCTGGGGGACCATGTCCCAACTCCCAGCCTGTAGGGATGTTGGGAGAGATCCCCCAAGGTCGCACCGGACAACCAGGCCGAACTGGTGGAACAGGACGAGGACGGAACGTGTGCCTAGGTACCAAGAGGACTTGCCACCTACTGTATTGTGTTATGCTTTCAGGGCCGATTCACTGTGGATGATGGAGGGGAACCAGGGATGAAAACGACTGCCCCATTGTGGTTGCACAAACCAGAGCCTTAAGAGATCCTCCGCGCCCACTGTTGCACAGATTCTGTCCCACCTTGTTGAGACCCACCCTCATCATGGCGGGGATGTTGGGGTGCAGACTGTGCAGTGCGAGCATGCCGAAGCAGCAAATTCGGCATTGTGCTGCTTGGGTAGTGGGGTGCCGATTGTCCCAGTTGGCCATCCTAGCCATTCTCTCTACCAAAGGGGTTGCAAGTCTGTTCCATGTGTAGAAGCGCAAACACCGCATCCGCCCTTTTGAAGTTCCGGCAGCCCTGTAAGGGCAGGAAAGGAGGCAGGCGCACACGGCTGGCCGGTTTGCATCCTCTCAGCTTATCATAGGAAAAAAAGTTCTTTTTGTAAGAGCTTTCATGTTAATATCATCCATTATTGCACGGACCGCAACCGTGTCCATTCTGCTGAGAAGCCCATTCCAAGAGGATTTAGAATCCACGATGGCCAAGATCTCTTTCCAGATGGATGAGGCCGGCCTTCCCGCTACCCCCCACAGCTACACTAGAATGTGGCTGACCTATCTCAGCCGTGCTCCGGGAAGTCTGAGTATGGTTATAGCCTGGGTTTTAGCCACTTGCGAAGGCCCATGAACTTCCAGACCTGCTAGGTTCGTAACGACATGAAAAATTGTTGGGTTTTGAAAATTCTACTGAATTCATGCATGGTCAGTCTTGCCTAGGCCGAGCTGGCTGACACTCCTTGGCGACGTGCGGGCACCAACCTCTCTGACTACTTCAACTTCGGCATGAGCGAAGACGAGTTCAAGGACGGTGTAGGAGATGCTATCCAGTATAGAATGTCAGCACATGATGGGTTTGCAATGCTCAGCAAGCTGCCCCACCAAGCAGAGTGCCTCGCCTTTTGGAGCACATGGCCAGCAATCCGAGCATTTTTGTTGAGGCGTATGTTATGCGGCGCGGCGTCCGGGTGCGGCTGGAGGCCTTGTCCTGCACATGTTTCTAGCTGGTGTGAGAAGAGGCTGGGAAGGCTGACCAGTATAGGATGTGATCACCTGCCATACATACTTCCGTCTTTACAGTTCAAGGTCTGAAGCTACCTGTGCAGTGCTTGGACCTGACAATGACAACCCAGCACTTGTCAATTGAAGGGGCCCTGAGACTTTTTCTTGGCTTTTGTTCAGTTACTGAATGCCCAATGCCTTTGCCTCAGACGGGTATATGCCCAAATGTCGGGTCTGTCCCAGCACAATCTATTCTCGCGAAGGCAGGAGGCTTCTTCCACTCCATCCTCAGTCTGCAAATCTATAAGCGAGTCGACCGTAAATCTTCAACCCTAAACCTCACATAAACCCTAGACTCCTCCATGCATCGTGAAGGCGAAAGGTCGGCGGAAGATCGAACGCCTTGAGGGAGGGCGGCGGCAGAACTGACTGCGCGTCGCTGCGAGGAAAAGAAGAGATGTCTGGAGATGAAATTTTCTCGTTGGGAACCCTGGAATGTACATGGATTATGGGTGGATCCTAGAGGTTCCTCTTGAGACATAAGGATGATATGGAGAGGATTTTTCAGAATCTCTGGTTTTGTGCACCCCCAAGCTGACATGGAGCCTGAAGAGAAGCTCTACAGAGACTACAGTCCGGTAGAAAGGGGGTCTGTGTGGGGGACCCAGGTTATTTTGAGGGCGGGCAGCAAACATACTTCCTCGGCTGATGATGAATGTTGTGCAATGGACCTTTGCATTGTCACAAGCACTGTTGCACGGTTTGTTTTTGGGTGTTTTAATGGTTGGAACAACCTCCTAGTTGCGGCTTGGCTTGCGTGTGACCCTCCGTAAGACTGGACGAGGAGGTCTGTGCTTGCTTCTCGTCCCAAGAGCTTCCTAATGCCACCAGCGTCATTCAGCGCAAGAGCTTCTCCACGCAAGCAAGGGTTTGATTCTGCCCGGGTATGGCACTCCTAGGAAATCCCTTTTCATATCTCTCCCGACCACCCGTCCAGAGGATCCGTAAAATATATGTGAATGAATAAACAAATATAATATATCTATATAACTACATGCATATATGATTTAGGCCCAGTATGGTACCCAACAAGCTTCAACCCTCGTTGCAGCAGGTGGGGCGTCGGCCGGAGGATGAAGTCTCCAGGATCCTAGCCGAATACGATGACAAGTTTCATAAATAGTGATGGTGGTAGGGGTCTTCATAGTGGACAGGACGTTGCTATTTTGCTTGCAAATGGAAATGCAACGGCAGGAGGTTTTGTACCGGAAGAAAACAGTGCTCACTCCAGAAGCATCATGTTGCGACAGCAGCCCTAAACCGTACTAATTAGTTTCTTCGCATGGTCTCATTATTCAGGCTGTAACGTGGGTTTCAGTATGTTGACCCCTCTGCGTCCTTCAATCGGAGTCTTGCGGTATATGGGAGCATCTTAATTTTTTCGGAAACTGACAAGGAACTCTATCAACTTACCCGGTTGATTATGGATTGTCTTCGAAGAGGTCCACCTGAGGGGTGTTGGGATTTTTGTGTACGACCCTTTCATCAAAGCAGACTTATTTGTTGGGCCGTTCCGTTTGGGGAAGCCAGTCTGGGGTCACTGTCAGGAGTCGGAGGCCTCCTGCCACTGCGAAGAGCAGGCTCTATGAAGGAATATTCCTTCGATCGAAAAATATCTTGTGTTACCTAAGCGAGGCGTTTTGTGACTTCACGGTATGGATCTTAGGGTTGAGGGTTCGGGGTGAACGCGGGTTTCCGTCGAATCTGTACTAGAATTATCTGGGCTCACGGTTGGGGATTCAGGTTAGAACTTTCAGGGCGCAAGCAGACGATTCCAATGTCCGTGTGGACGTAAACAAGTTGGCGTGGGACTTCAAAGCTTAGCATACATCATTTGGCCTTGACAGCAGACCCTGTGCCTAGTTCAGATGTTCTGTCTGCCGGAACTCCTTCAGGAAAACAGTTACAGTACACAGTTTTGAGACTCGTATTCTGTGTAGAAGTATGCTTTGGGGGTGAATGAGCCTTTGCCCATTCTGTTGAAGTGAGACAGATGTTGGCCTGGACATTTTCAAGAGTTTCACCACAGTTCTGCACTTTGTTTGTAGTGGCAGCTCTCATTCGTTGCAGCCCAAAAAGCACTCTTGACCTTTGCCTTTCCGATGAAATACATGGGTGTTTCTTCCATTCTTTACAGTCCTTGCTGCAGGTAAGTCTTGAACATCTCCCGTGCAAACCGATCAAGTCCCGCGAAACTTTGTTTCCAAAAACGGACTCCCACTTCGCACCTAGACCTTGAACTCGCAACCCCATTCCCTCTACACCCAAAAACTTGAGACATCCTACGATGTTCAGGCGGGAGTTCGCATCTGTGTTGACAAATTCGCAGCCCAGCACTGAGGCCTGGACTATCTTCACTTGTGACGATTGTAAGGCCTCATTCCTACTGAACAGGTTTTTTTTGGCTAGAAGTGTGAAGAGCTATCCTTGCTGGCTGAGCTTCAGTGTTCACAAGCCTCAGCGGACTCGCAGCTTCTCGCAGCACCAGCATCCCAGCACCCGGATTTGTCTTGGCCAAGTGTTTGCCGGTTTCTCGAAAGTAAGGTACCCCTAGCGATCAAATTAAGGGACCATACTAAGGGACCCCAAGAAGGGACCCATGACATTGAGAAACTGGCCTTCGCGCATTTTTTTCTGACTCTTGCTGTATACGGAATTTAGATGTGACTGTTGCTCCAAGTATGCTTCTCCCGTGTTCCCTACCCCCAGAGCCTCCAACATGTTGTCTACGATGTGTACAGAATCCTAAGACCTTCAAGAAATTCCGTGCGGATGGCTACTGTTATCTGGCACCCTAAGCTTTCAGTTCTAAACTCCTAAACCCATACAGCCTAGACCCCCAATCCTTCATACCTAGAGGTTTCCATTTTATTTTCCATTATCCCAAAACAACGCCAATATGTACCCTATAATCCCTATATAAACCATTATAGTAGTTTCCATTTTCTTTTCCATTATCCCTATGTAACCCCAATATCCTATAGTAGCTTCCATTTTATTTTCTATTATTCCTATAGAACCCCAATATACTATAGTAGTTTCCATTTTCTTTTCCATTATCCCTATAGAACCCCTATACTATAGTACTCAATACCCTCACAAGCCAAGGCATGGTTGAGCATTCGCTGGCTGTTCTTGACAAAGACCTGGCTGATCGCGTTGCCCTGGTGACTGACCTTGCTACTGGTCCAGTACTTGAGGAACAGGTTGTCATGCAAGGAAGTGGGTTTGGGGGTAAGTTAGGGTTAAGAAAATAGAAGATCCTCAATTTTTGTATCAATAGCACGGTCTTGGGGTGAGAGGATGATAGATTGGAAGCGCTAGACAGGCAGATCACAGTTCGGGGATTAAGAGTGAGTCAGGATGTGCGTCTGGCGCTCATCACTAAAGTAATGGACGAGTACCACATCCTGCAGGGTCTACAGGATGAGTCCACTGAAGATGATGAGAGGTTCTATTGCTACCAGCGCTGGGGCATCTGGAGGATATCTTTGGTAATTTTTTCATTTCCACCTGTGAGTGCCGAATCCCTCAAGGTAAGGGATGGCTCGGGATTTCAGGGGTCCTTAGGCAAGACTGGCAGCCCTGGAAGCAAGAAGATCGATGGCCCATTCTCGGAGGAGCGCTGCTTTGCAGATATTGCTTACTCTGTCCTTCCATCACTCATTTGGAGGTGGTTCTGCCACCTGGAAACCAGCCACAAAATATGTCTGGGTCATAATGTGATAAGACAAATCTGCTAATTGCTAGAACCAGGTAGAAGATCTAGAAGCTGCCCGGATCGTCTCAGTGGACTTGGTGTTGTCACAGAGCCTAAACCCCTGGATCCTAAACTGCAGGAGAAGATGCGGGCATTCTTTGCTGGGGTCTTTGAAGAGCGGACAGGCTCTCCGTGGGGAAGCCTGAAGCCAGGCCAGATAGCCGAATCACAGGCTTCATGGTGTGTTCTTTACAGGAATAGGAGGAAGTTTGTTGAAGAACGTTCTTGAGGTGGGTGTACCTGCTTGTTTTGTAAGTACTCCTGCTGATGTTTCAGAAGCTTTGGAACTCAAGGCAGTTTTAGCCAGGTGACAGGGTGCCGCAGGGCCGCTTCTGGTGGCAACAGGCGGCTGCCACAGAGGACAAACTGGCGTGTTGGCAACTGGGTAATGCAAGGTCTATAGTAGTATGGCAAACAGCAGCAAGACCCATGGTAGTAGGAGGGTGAGGAGTCATTGTAGTGGTAGTCATTCCAACATAAAAGAAAAGGCAGAACTTGAGATGCTAACATTAGTCTTGACAAGGATAGTAAGTTCCTGCGGAGGAGAACACCAAAGACGAGAAGGCCTTTTGGCAGTACTATGTCCATGATGGCGTGGATGGAAAGTCTCGTGGTTGGTATCCATACGAGGACTGTTGACCGATTCGCAGAGATTCGCTGAAGGCTGTGCTGACACATCGGGTGATGTCTCATCATTGTAGATGTTTTTTGGCGTGGGTCCATAAGGAAAGCCTCAAGGTTTTCGCTGAAGCATGGACATTGATACAGCAACTGGAGTTCCATTTTTGACTGCTCAGGACGATGCCTCGGCCGAGGTGGAAGACATCTTCACTCAGCACATGAGCAACAACCAAGAGGGTCGCACGTCGATCAGGACAGTCTCCTCAGGCACCATGTGCCCATCTGCACCGAGAAGCATGCAGTTCTGTGGGGTTCAGGGTTTCAATTGTATGTTTCTACACACTGGGCTCCTGCTGCGAAGGCCACTTCTCTTACCGAATTGATCTGGATGCTATGACGCAAGAGAACACCAAGACAGGAAAGGTCAGGGCCATCAGGCGCTTCACAGAGGCAGCAGCAAAGAAGGCTACCAAGCGCACGAAGAGCATGCGGCCGCCGGCAAAGAAGCGAGCTCCTGCGGCCAAAGCCGACAAGGCCTTGGTCGACCGGAAGAAGGTATTGAAGAAGATCCTTAAGACACTGACGTCAGACGCCAAAACCACAACGGTTGCCGGGAAAAGGAAGCCGACCAAGCCCAAAGCTGGACCCAAGGTTGCAATGAAGAAGAAAGCTGTGAAGGTTGCAAAGGGCAAGGACGCCAAAGCCCAAGTCTTCCACGGCAAGTTCACGCGTACCTCAACTGGCCTCAAGAAGTCTGATCTCAAGAGGAACAAGTACGGCAAGGTTGTGAGCAAGAAGGCGTCTGAAGCAGGCGCAAGTTTTTGACCCCAAGCGCGGTTGCAGCTAAATTTGCAGCTTGCAGACTGGACTCGGTTCCAGGCTGTGCAATATTCTTGCGTATTTTGATCTGCCGTTTGCGGGTGTGAGCTGTGAGGTCGGAAGAGCTTTGGTCGGGTGGCCTGCTGGATTGCTGCGTGTCAGAAAGCCCGGGCTGAGCTTGGGATCATTGGCTTTGTCGCTGTCCGAAAGGACCCTGGGTAGGATTTTGACGAGATCAGCTTTAAGTATTCGCCAGTATGACTTGTGAACATGTCACTTTGACCATGTAGAGCCAGGTAGCATAGCTGCCATAGTCCATTTTGGGGTGCAATTTGCCATCTACCTCTCTTGAAATGTCAGATCAGGACACAGAGCTGTACAGGAAGGCCAAGGAGCTGTATCCCCATGTGAAGCCGTATGTGCTGCAAAAAGCAAAGCGCTGACGCGAGGCTCGTAGGCTGGGATTCTGAGGCGGTTTCATCGGGCCCAGCTCATCTGCTATGTACAGTCAATGCAGACCGGCCGGCCCTTTTAAGTCTTCAAGTTTGTTCTGCTGGTGTGCAATACACCAGGCTTTCTTTGTGATGTGCAGATAGGCTTGAGTTGAAAAGCCCCTGCTCGCTGCATGCGTTCCTTCAAAAAATCTGCTTCTTGGCCTTGTGTTCTCATGAACGGAAACTACATATCAGGCAAAGATGTAATGATGTTTTTGTGGCAGTACTCATGCTATCAGCCACTCAAGCTTCAACAATAACAGGCGCCTGCTACTGTCAAACCATTCCAACTTGGCTATTCTTGACCTCCGCTCTTCCCATCGCCTGAGAGGCCCCGCTGCGACTGAGCTGCTTGGACAGCAGTCTCTGCATGACAATTGGAAGTAGGGGTCTGTGTACAGGTGTTGGAATGAAGGACAGCAGGATGACAACTACAATTTCAATGCCTTGGCATAGTTTTCAGTGAGACATTTAGCAGCTTGATTCACACTCCAGTAGGTTCCCTCAGTGCAGGAACAACGGTGGCCCTCCCTCCCAACAGTCCTATCTACCATGCTCCAGAAGCCTGTTGAAGAAGCACTTCTCGGAATGGCCCAGGTGGCCCGCAAAGGAGGCAGGCAGTGGTAACTACCTCTTTAGAGGGTCAGGGCTTAGATTTGTCGCACGGGGCGGGGGGGAAAGACAGTATTGCACTTTGTTTGAACCATCTGGGAGAGGTTATGTCAAATGAATTCCTACCGTTTTGGATGGGCACTTGAGTTGACAAATTCGCGTGCATGCCATTTTGGCAAGTGTTCATGCAAGCTTGTCTATGCCGTTAGGACGTCTGAGAGTTATTTCAAGTCGCCTGTTTGGGGGGTTTGGGCAACTTGCTAAGAAGGTACGCCCGCTCAAAAACGCCAGAACCCGATGCCAGGCGCGTCGTCGGATCCAGGATGCTGTGTTGATTTGCTTTGATGTGGTAACTCGAAATCAATGTCTCTTGTCGGGTTGCCAGTATCTTGGGTACAATTCTGACAACCTAGCATATGCAAACCTGGTTACAAGTCTTGCAGTGGAAGACCACAGGAACCCAGAGATGATCCTTGATGCAACCTGTCCATTTCAATGGTGAGGCATCTAGCATCTCTGGCCTCCCTCTGTGGTACGTGTCGTGCAATCTTTGTGACTGCTGTTGCTTATGGACATTCGTGCGACTGTCTTTTGATTTTCACCGGGGATGGAGCGGTTCATGCATGCTATCTGCATGACTATGATCACTTTTAGCGTAAACTTCAGTCTGTGAGATCGGCAAGGTTCCAGCAGTGACAGGGTGGTGCAATTCGGAGGCATGATCCTTGTAGTTGTTCTTGCTAGGATATACAAGCATTGCAGAAGAGGTTGTGATCAGAAGCCTTTGTTGTCGGTGTTTGGTATGTTTCAAAGGGTTGTAGATGCAAGTCATCCTTCAAGGCCCAAGTTGAAGCAACAGTAGGAGCTGTCTCGTTTCAATCTTCGATGGGCTGCATCGGTACCACCCACTGCAGCCACCCATATGGGCTTCTAAGCTAAGTAGTTCCACCGGGGGGTGAAACGCATGTAAAAGGTTGAGCTGCGCATTTGGGGGCGCACCAGAAGCATGTGAGAGAGTATGATTAAAATGTTCAAGCTACTCGCTTGCTTTGAGGAAACCTTTGTTCGTCATTGCTGGGCCAGGTACCACCGACCCAAGCCAGGGAAGGGCCCTGCAGTCTCTGCCAGCAAATGACTGGCGCCAACCACATACTTGTGAAAGGCTTCATCCTTCCTGTGTTTCCCGTATACAACAGGGATCTCTTGCCCTGTTTTTTGACAATATCAGACAATGCCTGCAGCAGAATAAGAGGGAATCATTATCATTTTTAGGGGAGGGATGTCTTGTGTGTACCATTTCGTTGATGATGAACGCTTTCGCATCATCCGTAGCTAGCAGCCTCCATGTGAGCTATAGTCTAAACTCCGAGTATCCCTCTTAAATCCATACCACTTCCCTATAGAATCACCTATATCACGCCTCTTTAATCAGTTTAGCCTATAGCTCATGTAGCTTTAGACACACAGCTGTTGGTCCTGCCACAGCACCTGCCTGTGCACAGGACTCCTGTGTTAGGCTTATCCTTCCCAGCGCCTGCCTTAAGGTGTTGCAAACATGGTGTCTGCCTGAGAACCTGAGTATAGTATGTGAAACTGGGGAGCCTTTTCTTGAGTGCATTACGAGTGGCAGGGCAATCAGCTCAAGTTCCCGGTTGGCCCCGGGAAGGCAAATGACGCAAAACCTTTTGCAGCTCGTGCGGCTCAAATTTCAAAGCGCGAAGAAAATGGCTGTTCTTATCGCTGCAGATGCCGTTCTTAAATCTCTTTCCCTTCTCGATTGCTGCAGGGATTCTTGCAAAGCTTTCCTTGTAATGGGGACGGCTTTGTCAAGCCGATGGGGTATCGGCTACTTCGACTTTGACTCAGCAAACTTGTGCGATATTCATGGCAGTAGCGATGGTAGGGTTTTGGCAAGCAGAAGTGACCCATGAGGTGGCCGTGGTGCTTTGCTCTCAGCTTCGGTTGTTTATGGCAAGTCATGGATCGAAGCGCTACCGCCACCAGATGGCAACAGGGGGAGGATGCAACATGCGCACAGTAGCAGGACGCAGAGATTGGCATGGGCAAAAAGATGCAAAAAGTATGGTTCCATTCGGCTTCTGATGTTCCTGTCGTTAAAATACAAAGTAAGTGTTCTTCAGTGGGGATAAGGACCCGATACGAGGGTGCCACTTAACGAGCCGGCTCGAGCCTGGCACCTCTGCGCAGACGCAGCCTCAGCTGAAGTGGACCCTCCAAAAGGCGTCGTATGCAGATACTGCCGTCATCCTGCTATAGCCTTGCTTTGAACCCTATGGGTCTTCAATGTTGGTCATGTCCTCTTGCAGTCCTACGCTTGTCACCTTTATCACGCAGCATCCAGTAGGTCCAGGATCAACATGAAAACTGAAATCGACTTAGACGTAGAGCTGCCCTCCGATCCTTAGCAGGGATCAAGTTGGCGTTTTGATTTAGTGTCCCCTCTCCAGCCTCATGAGAACATCTTCCAATATTGTTCTCATAGGCTAGGGGTTGTGGTAGGGGAGGAACTGATGCATCAATGTCTTAAGGAATGTACACTGTTCCAAGATTTGCTCCATGCAGAGTCGAGGAGAGGTACTGAGGGTTGAGCCTTGGCTGGTATCAAGTCCAAGATAGGATGCGTACCGTACTTGGAATTTTTCTCAAGTCCACAATCCATATACCTTCTTGTTGGTACTTCCTTTGCCTGGGCCATGTGAAGTAGTGGGTGCTCATGATGGTTGACCTGGTGGAAGCCATTCTTAGGGGAATCACCCTTCAAATAGAGTCTGCAGGACAATCCCTACATTAGTCCTACATCCTTCGCAAGTCACTTAGTTCGGGAGAGCAGAGCAGAATCCAAGGCCATGCTCGGAATTGCCAGCTACGACTCGGATGAGGAGCCTCCAGGTTGGCGGATTAGGGGTTATAAGTAGGCTTAGAAGCCCCAAAGAAGGTTGTAACCAGCTTTGCGTAAACTCCGTTACAATTTAACTTTCTGTTTGCTAACTACCCATGAAAATGTAGGTAGCAATTAAGGGTTTGGGCTTCATCTTGCTGGATGTTGTTTCCCTTCTATTCTCGCTGCCCTCAGTGTCACGATTCACATCAGGGTATGGCAAGTGCTACTCAGCTCTAGTCGTCAGCCAACCCCACAACCACGAAAAACAATATATCACCCCGATACTCTGCAGTAGTTTCCGTTCTCTCTGCCATTGTGCCTATATAATCCCATATGATCCCACACAACCCTGTATAACCCCAACCCCAAAAGCTGCAAATCTTGACAAAAACCTGGCACTCTTGCAGCTCCAGCAGCCCCAGCGGCGGTGACAGAGCCACCAGCGAAGCCCCCCGGCCATGATGTTGTGGGATCCTATGGTTTGTCCAGCGGTAGACAGGGTTGCATGGGAATTGCTGTGGGGTGGCGAATTTCAGATTTAGGGTCCAAGTTGCTTAGAGCCGGAGTTTGGGTCTAAGTTGCTTAGAGCCGGAGTTTTGGGAGGTTGTCCCAAGTCTCAGCTCCAAAAGCACGTGTCAAGTGCTAGAACTCCCAATAAAGCACACAGCCTTTGGGGCTTCACTCCCTAGAGAAAAGGCGTGGGAAATCATCATGGTGGTCATGTTTCGATGGAAGTTCCGGATGGCAGCTGCTACCTGGAGTAGCGCATCAATATGAAGCTCTTGATTGACTATTTGATGCTAGAAAATTGCAAGATTCAGCTTTTAATGCTGATGTTGACAGATGGTAATGCAGTGGTCACTCTTACACCACAACGACGGAAATGCTGCTTGTAACCTGTGTACACTAACTCATGCATCCGTCTAGACCCCTGGATGGTCAGAAGCGCCCGAAACCTAAAACTTATACAAAATGAATCCTACATATCCCACTTAGGACCATGGTGATACCCCCTTCTACTCCTATAGCGAACTCCTGTACAACCCTAAGTGCGCAGTGTGCCTTGCTAGGCGGCAGCGCACGGAAGAAGCCACCGCGGTGAGCCACTCAAGTGGTAGTTTCTCAAAATAAGGGGACCCCCATATAGACCCCAAAATACTATAGTCCTTATTATTGGGACCCCTAACAAGGTACCCCTAATTTTGGGAAACCCCCAAGTCTTCATGGTTGCTACTATCAATATGCATGCTCCCGGAATATTTAATATTTTTTCGGTTCGTTACCAGGTCCAGTCATCACTATGGCTTCATGTTGGTGTTCATATTGTTATACTGCATCCATTTTCAAGTCTACGTATCATGACAAACATTGGTATTCTTAGCTTCGTGAATTTGACAAGTGGCTAAAACAGACCTGCATCAGCTCACAAATGGGG